ATTTTATTTGGGTCATTTTCAGACACTGAGAAGGCTGGCTCAGAATCGAGAGGCAGCAAGAAAGAGCAGGCTAAGAAAAAAGGTGGCTTTTTTTTAAAAAAAAGCACATTTTTTTTATGTTTGTTTTTGTTTTTATGGCTAATTTTTGTTGTGTGTTTGAATTATTTACAGGCGTATGTTCAGCAGTTAGAGTTGAGTAGGATTAAGCTGACGCAGCTGGAACAAGAGCTACAGAGAGCAAGAACTCAGGTGAGTTTTAATGTTATATAATAAAAGCTGCTTGAGGGGCTTCTCTAATGGCGGATGCGCAAATCTGAAAGCTTTTAAACTGATAAGAAATGGGGCTTTTTTTTTGCTCTTCTTAATGTGGTGGTGTTATTTATTAGGGCATGTTTTTGGGTGGAGGAGCTGCGATTTTAGGAGGTGACCAAGGACTTCCCGCCGGCCTCCATAGCCTCAGCTCTGGTAAGAAAACCCATTATGAATATGAATAAAAGATTAAATTTTTCGTAATCTAAATCAGCTTATTCGTGTTTGAGCTTTTGTATGTTATTTTCGCTCCGATTAATATGGATATTTGTTTGATGGGTTGTGCTAAGATTAAATTGGACGTAAATATTAACTTAAAGTTTTTACCATATGGGACGGTGGAGTAATGGATTTGTGGTCGAAAAGGGATGTGCCTTTCTGGCCGGAGCCTCCTGGGGTGCATGGTCGGAACTTCTCCCTTCATTTGGAGATGAGTCTCACAACGTCGGTTATAGTGTTGACGCCGTTGATACCTCTCGGTAGTAGGGATCCAACTGGTGGAGCCACGTGGCATCGATTCCAAGTTATAAAAAAGAAAAAGAAAAGAGAAACTTAAGTTTTTGGTAATAGTGATTTAGCATGGTATTTTAGGGTGAAGCTACTCATGTTAATATTGATAATTACGAGCTGTTGTGCTAACTTTTTTAAGTCCATAGAAAACAATTAAATTTACTGTAACCTGGGCAAGAGATTCGAATCTTCGATCGGTTGATTAAGTTGAGCTATATTTACGTCAGCAAGTTTACTGTAACTTTTGAAGTTAAATTTTTAGGTATGAGAATTATTTAACATGGTATTTGCCTCCGAAAGTATAGTCATTTTTTTGTTAAATTAACATTGATAACAGCATGTAGGATTTTGTGCACCCAGGTCCAAAATTGAATACCATTAACTTTTCATAAGCTTTTTAAGTCTAACGATAATTTAACAAAACTGTTTACGCTGCAGATGCAGCGGTGTTCGACATCGAGTACGGGCGGTGGCAGGAGGAGCACCACCGGCTGATGTGCGAGCTCCGGGCGGCAGTGCAAGAGCACCTACCGGAGAACGAGCTCCGGCTGTTCGTCGACAACTGCCTGGCCCACTACGACGAGGTTATGAATCTGAAGACGATGGTGGCGAAGTCCGACGTCTTCCACCTCGTCTCCGGCACGTGGAAGACGCCGGCGGAGCGCTGCTTCATGTGGATGGGTGATTTCCGGCCGTCTGAGCTCATCAAGGTACGTTCATTTAATATCATTTCTTTTACTTCCCACCAACCTTCTTCTTCTTCATCGACCCTTTTGCATATAAACCAAAAAATGGAAAAAAAATATATATATATAACTTACGTTTCCACAAAAACAAAATAAAAATAAATGCAACTCTAAGATAATGACAAACCGACATTTACCTGAAAATTTTTGTATTTTCAAACCATGCAATAATTTGGAAACTTGATCAATTAGGTCTTCAAGGTGTAACTTCTCTCCCTATTTAAAAATATTATTGTAGTCTTAGAAATGTTATTTTAAATATATTTTTTTGAGTTTAGATGATTTTTTTAGATAGTGGTTGGACAAAAGTTTAATTTACTTAAATGACTTTAACGAGTCTTGGAAAATAATTTTTTCATCGTATAGCCAAATTTGAAAAATATATATATCAAGCAAATTAAAATATATACGAAATTCAGTCTAAGTTCAACGATAGAAAGTGTGAAGTATTGAAAATATATGTATTTTTGATAGATACATTGATAATATGTCTGAATTTCTTTTTTAAATCATTGAGTTTATATTTATTATGGAATATTTTAAAATGTTATCCAAAAAACCTACTTTAGAGAGACCAAAAAATATTACACTAGTCAAAAGCATATAAGTAGTGAATTCTCCCATTTAAAAATCAATGTTGGAAAATTAGCTTGATTATTATTCAACCATTATGATATTGTGATGGATTTTGTAACTTAAAACTCAAGAAAGCTAAAAAAAAACATGGAGTAAAGGAAAACGATTCAATATAACTGTCACTTTTAGGACCATTAGATATATAGTGAGCAAAATACATGTTTAAGTTCACTAGAACTGTCAGTGACAATGTTCCAGCTGTCATATCAAATAATTTCTCGTTTATAAAGAGAGTATTCGAGTATGGTTAGAACGAGACGGGCAAAAGAGAGTGAGACACGAAGGAAGGTTATTATAGGAAGAAAGGGCAAAATGTCATGAGATGGGATTGCAACAAACTTTACAGGATGTGTTTGGTTGCTGAGAAAATATCCAAAGGGTGAAGTAATAATAAATGACGAAAGGGTATTGAAAGTTTCCACAATATGTAACGATTAGGTATAACATTGTAGAAAGAAAATAGCTCTTTATTGCCAATTTCTTTAGTATGAGAGAGAAACAATGGAATTTGGGGAAGAATTGCATGGCCCTCTCTCTCTCTAAACCTAAAAATTCTTGTTTGGGTGTCACATATATTTTCAGAAAAAATATCATTTCAAACTTTGTCTTCTGAAATATAGCTTTCCAAAAACAATAAAAACAAATGTGGGAGGAATATTATATTCCCCTCTTTCTTCTTAATGTGTATAATGATGAATATAGAAAAATAGTAGTTGCAAAGAATATAAGAGCCGCTTGTTTAGGTGTATTTCCAAACATTACAATATTAAAAAATCGGTTGAAAAATACATTTGGTGTCTATACTTTTGTGAAATTAACGATTTAGTCCTGAACTTTCAAAGGTAACGATTTAGTCCCTTGTATTTTAAAATTGGTTATAACTTAGTCCCTATCGTTAAGAACTAGGTTAAAATTTAACAGAAATTTAACATGGGATAGATGTGTATAAATTAAAAAGCTATGTGTACAGAATTATGGGTTGGTTCAAACTAGATCGGTATAGGGTTTTCGGACAAGGGAAAAGAAAAAGAGGGAGAAACCCATAATTCTGCACAAGTGGCCTTTTAATTTATATACATGTATGCCATGTTAGATTTCTGTCAAATTTTAACCTAATTTTTAAGGTAGGGACTAAACTGTAACCAATTTTTTAATTTTAAACTACATGAACTAAATCGTTACTTTTTAAAGTCCAGTGACTAAGTTGTTACTTTCACGAAAGTATAGGACCAAAATTTGTTTTTTAACCTAAAAAATACTTTGCTTCACTAGTCTTGATTAATTTTGGTCCCCTAAGGATGACGCAGTGGTAAGAACATGAAGTCTTGTGGTATCACCTACCATGAGATCTTGTGTTTGAGTCTTACGCTGGTCACAATGTAAACCTATTAGCGTAAGCCACACGATGTTGATTTTAGAAAATTAAAGTCGAGAGTTGAACTAATAAAAAAAAAATTGTTTTGGTTTTGTGTAGATAGTAATGGGTCAAATAGAGCCATTAACAGAGCACCAAATACTAAACATTTGTGGGTTGCAACAATCAACACAAGAGAGTGAGGAGGCATTGTCCCAAGGGCTTGATGCCCTAAACCAGTCATTATCAGACACCATAACCTCTGATTCATTGAGTAGCCCTCCAAATATGGCTAACTATATGGGACAGATGACCCTTGCCATCAACAAGCTCTCTACACTTGAAGGCTTTGTAAGACAGGTACCCCACATCTCTCTCTCTTTAATAATTTAATTCCCATCAAACTTATGCTATCTTTATCAACTTTTTTTAATATGAAAAGACAAAAAACTATCAATGTTTTTGGTAGACAAAAGAATATAAACCAAGAGTCAATTGGGATTAATTTTTTTTTATTTAATTATAATTTAAAAGGACCTGTTTCAATTTTAAAACAGATATTCGTGATTTGGAAGAAACATTTAGAGTCTATTTAGTAAGGTTCTTGTTTCTTATTAAAAAAATAGAAGTTCCCAGAGATGAGGCTTAAGACTTCAAGGAATATCCTTGAGGTCTTTATGTACGGATACGAGAACAGTGTAAAATTTCTAGAATATTACAAAAACGGCCCTTAATAACTAGTTAAAATGTTTTTTTTCTTTATTTACAAGATTTTTGTGGGTAACTTCACTAATTTTTATGAGTGATTGGAAAGAAATGAGTGGCATTTTTGAGTTGGGGAAACCTACCCCTTCCCCAACCCAAAAGCAACCTCTCTAGCAGCTCCTTGTCTCACTATATGCCCATGTGGTTGGTTGGTTACATGGAATCTACGAATATGTCTTCCACTTTGTCTCATCAATTGTCGTGTCTCATATATATATATGTATGTGTATATATATATATATGTATGTATGAAATTAAGTAAAAAAAATCCAAATTATAGTGTCATAATTTTAGATTTTAATTTCATCAAATTGAAATCTTGAAATCCAATCTAGAAAATAACCCAATACATCATGAATAATTCCAATTAATTACACTCAAAACTAAAACATAGAAATTCTTGAAGACTTTGTTCCTCACAAAATGATGTTGGTCTTCCAAGATATTGTGATTGGATCCATTTCCTTAGGATATTGATGGCAAGTTCCCAAGATTGTTGTAACCGTTTATTATGGGTTAGGGTTTCAACTTTAGAAAAAAAAAATTGTTTTTTCATATCATAACTTAATTACCAACGCAAGTTTATTGGAAACTTTTTTAATACCATAGGATATGTCAGCATCATTTAAAAATGATATAGCGTCAATTAGGATTAAAGAATTATATTATTTATGAAGGAACATTCATAATATAAAGAGAAGAAGCAGGTACACAGAAGTACTAGAAATTTCCTTAACTTTTAAATGGTTAGATGTGATAGGAAAATTTAAGAGTAAGGAACAAAAATTTTTTTTAGTACAACATATAGGGTTGGAGGATGAACTCACAACCTCGAGATATATGTGAATTACTACTAAGCTATGCTCGTTTTGAAAATAGTAAAAAACAAAATTAATTCTCTAAGTAAAAGTTAAACTAAAAAAGAATAGTCAGGGAAGAGAATAATGTTACCTTCGCTTTATGTCTAGTTGTTTTTTTTTTTGAGAAGTATTTTTATTGGATAAGAAACCAGTTTATTGAATAATATGCGCGGCACCTACCACGAAAATAGACCAATATGGGAGACTCCAATTAAAAGGATGTGGCAATATTATAATTACAAAATAAAGTGGATTTGGATAAAATACTTTTCCAACTAGTACTTTAAAAGCATAATAATGCTTATTTTAAAACAAGTTCTTAATATTTTAGACATTCTTGAAATTATTTTTAATTTGTAAAACAACCACTTTTAAAAAAGTTTAATTAATGGGTCAAAACAACATTTTGAATAATGAATATATATTTCTAAGCTCACTATTTATCAACCTAATAAGACTATATTAAACTTTTAGATTGCTAGAACCCTGTAACATATTTCTTTTCTAAATAATATTGTTCGGAATAGAACTAGAGAAAAAGGGCTACAAAATTAGACTATGTAGGCCATTTTATCAATATTTATGGGATTACATCGACAATAAGAAAAGTAACCCACATATATTATAAATCCTTGTTAGATGATCCCTTATCATTTTAATGTGACATCCTTAACATGTCCTTTAAGATCTTGTTCCGATACCATTTTTAGATCAGATGCTCGTTTAAGCTTTTGGACTTTTATTATTATGTAGTCATATATATCCTTATATTTTCAACATTTTCTTTCTCCCTCCATATATTTACCCATATTCTTTTTTGACATGTCAAATAACTTGTTAGGTTTGGGTTTTGTTAGTATTAATTATAATATATAGTTAGTTGGGATCACATAAAATAAAGTTTGGTGGCATATGTGAGTTTAATAATATATATTTATTTTTGGTTATAATATGATTTGTAGGCAGATAATTTGAGGCATCAAACTGTTCATCGATTGCATCAAATGCTGACAACTCGTCAAGCTGCAAGATGTTTGCTAGCAATTGCAGAGTATTTTCATCGGCTTCGAGCTCTGAGCTCTTTATGGTTGGCTAGACCAAGGCAGGATTATTGACTTTCAAATTACCAAAATTTACACCAAAATTACACCCTTTATAAAACTTACCCAAAAAATATCTTTCCTTTTAACTTTTACTTTCTCTCTCTCTATCTAAGATATATATATAGAACAATAGATATAGATAAATAAAATAGTTCTTCGTGAAGCCATTCTAACTGTCTCTTTCTCTGAAGTAATTATATGTAGAAGAATAGACAATCTAGATGAATACGTCTTAGTTCTTCATGTAAAGTATTGATTCTCTCTCTAAATTCAAGTATAGAACAATAGAACATAATAGATATGGAAAAATGAAATAGTTTTTTATGAAGCTCCCTCACTCACAGTATAGAAAAATAACAAGCGACGTATAATGAAAATGATTTATTTTGAGTTCTCGACAAGGAGAGGATTTGGACCTCTAAGCTTTTAAGGAAGTAAGTAATTTATTGACAAATTGATCTATTATGTTTTATTAAAAAAAGAACATTATTTTGAATTTTCTACAGCTTAAAAATTTACCAAGCTTAAGATTTTGAAAATATTTTAAGATTTATATTTTATATAAAGAAAATTATAATTGGATACTTTTGTTATTTATGAACATCTTTTAGTTAAATAAAACTATTTTACAAAACTTGTACACATGAATTAAGAAGAACATAAATCATCCGTCAATTATTCGAGAAATGGCCACCAACCCTTCCTCGAACCGGACCCAATTCAACTAACGAGACGAGATAAAGCAAGATGAGCCAACTAATGAGCTACACTATTAACCTCATGGTAGGTAAAATTGAAGCGGACAGACCCCAAAAAGAATAGCGCAGACATATCTCATCTCAAAACCAATTGACAATGAGAGGAGCAACTCATATCTATTTCTTTATCCTTAACATGTCCCATCAAGATCGTGGTTCTTTTGGCTCATCGATTTTGGACGAATCCCATCTTTGAACCGGGTGTTCTTTTGAGCTCCGATACCATATCAATATTCATGGGGTTCCATCTCAAAACCAATTGGCAATCAGAGGAGTAATTCATATCAATTATAAACCATTGTTAGGTCTTTTTTATTTTCAATATGAGATCCTTAACACTCCTAAACATGTACGATTTAGCCACTAAATTTTGAAAAATAGTTTTATTTAATCTATGTTGTTACTTTATGGTACTATACAATCACCAATGAATGGAGAACCAATGGCATTGATAAGGAGGGGATTGAAGGAGAGTGGGTAAAAATGTAAATTTGTAAAAAAACAATGTGATGTTAGAATAATAAAAATATAACAAGTTATATGTCATGTTATTAGCATTAATAATATCATAAGTTTAAGTCTAAATATATATTTTAGTGCCTGGTTTTTTTTCAATTTAATTTTTATTGTGATTCTAAAAGTTTAAATTGAATCTTTTATGTTTTAACATTTTTGGAATGTCAAAATTGATTGAGAATAAACCTACCAGACATGAAACTTTGAGCATTAGTTCAATTGATTAAGTTATATTATAGCTCTATTCTAAAGATTGTATCACAGGTTTGACGTACATCTCTCACATTGGAAGAAAACAAACCTACATGACATGATGATTTGTGAGTATATACAAATTTAGAGGAAGAATTAGTCACCTAGGAGAGAGAAATTTTAATAGCTCCTCCGGATTTCTAAATAAATTTGACAGAATTTTTCACTTTTTGTCTTTTAGATGGTTTACTTCATTCTCTAAATATCTTCTTACTTACTATATCATGTAAACTTATCATTAGCTAAATTTTCAACATTCATCGATGAAAAATATATAATAAAAACATTAAACGTTAGGAAAAGATGAGAACTAATACAAAAATGCTTAAACATTAGACACTAAAATATATATTTTTTAAAAGTATCCAATCTGCTTTATATTATTATGATAGACTAAATTGAATTATTTCGTAAGACTCAAGGGCCAAATTATAGGTTTTAAAAATTCAAGACCAAATTGGCATCTTTCCCCACCATCTTAGCCTATTATTGATAGGGATTTGACGGACGGATGTCGAGGTACTCCTATTGTTAACACCGTAAAATATTCCTACAAATTATGACATTCGCTCAAAATGTCATGAGCAAATATATCGTGGCAATTGTCCAACCTTATTTTGGCTATTGAATTAAGTATTCTCGGTATTCTCAAATAAAAAATATGTAGACAACAAATCTAAGAACTTTTTTCTTCAATTGAAAAGTAAGAAACTAGCTAACAAATCATGAAAAATCCGTCTCCTAGGGATGACGTGACAAGGACTTGAGGTTTTGGAGTACTAATACCTACTTTGAGGTCTTTAGTTCGAGTTATGCGTCGGTCACTCAATATTGTTCAATCCATACAACGAACTCCAATTATAGAGATTCATTAACTAAGCTACGCGACATCGATTTTAGGAAATAAAAAAAATCATGCAAAATTCTCATATAGATTAACATTAGACTTTCCCTTTTTATCTCAAGAGAGATTCTTTGATCAATTAGATAAAAGACCTCCACTAGAACCAAAGAAATATGCATTGGTTGTGCAATTTTCTTTCTTTTTATTTTCAATGGGGCAGTTGTTCTTGTCTAATAAACTAAAGAACACTTGTCTTGAAGATAATTCAGAGTCAAATGGAGCAGATATTATTTTATTGAAGAGATTAGTTAATTGATGTGTGCTTAATTTGGAAATATTTGAAGGTTTTGAAGGACCACCAAGAAGATTAGTGGATTTATTCTTCATGTTTGGTGGAGTATTAGAAATTTATATTGTCTCTCTCTATGTTTCTAGCAAAATTCAAACTTCTTCATCATATATTATAAATATAGGAAAAATAGAGACAGATTAGAGAAGAAATAATGAGAAAATATAATTGATTAGGTTCGTACATGAATGATTAGTTTTATTGTTTGGTGTTTGAAAATTATACCATAGGCACTTTTATCGCACATCTAATCTAAATAATTGCAAATTCGTCACATGACATACACAAATATAAGAACTTATATATTACTGATATATTTTATATTAAGTATCAATTGTATATCATTAATATACTTTATTTTGGTATATTGATATCGGTTGTAGATTCATAAATAAAACAAAAATAGTATATCAATCATATTATTCATAGGGATATATTATTTAGACTAAGATAATATCTCGGTATTATACTAAAGAAAAAATTGTCATATTTGAAAATTATTTCTCGAGTGTGACAAATTTATAGTACTAGCTTTGTCATCGATTATAGTTTCCCATTACAACTTCATACGGGAGAGGGAGTAGAGATATAAAAAAGACATCATTTGTGGGGGAGCAAGAGAATGAAAAGACAACTTTTTTTTTTTTTATTACATGAAAAGACAACTTATTGATCATTGTACTTTTGTTTTAGAAAAAATTGTAGGTGTAATTTATTGTTTTACCATGTAGTAATAGGATTGTGATTTTAGAAATATGACAAATTAAAGAAAAAAACAAAATAAAAGTTCACGGTCTATTTATGCATTTTATGTAATTCTCTGTTTTACCTTCCTACATCACTCATTTACGTTCATAAGTAAAACAATATATGATTGATATAGTCTATCGGTGATATTAATCTATCTAATAGACTCATACGAGTAATAGTAACAATGGTAGAGTCTATTACAAATAGATTAATAGACATTTTCAGAACTAGTTTAATCTATTTTATGGGCAGGTTTTGACGACTTTTCCTTTTTTTTCTCTTTTTGGCGGTATATTTACAAATCCAAAATATTATTGCTATATCTGCAATTAATTAAACTTATTTTGTCATATATAAATTAGGAAGTGCTTTTTCTCACTTTTTCTCTCCTCAATGGTCGGTATGGCTTGATGTATATGCAATGATTAGTTAGAGATTTTTGTCAAATTGTAATTAATTGCTTACTAAAATAGTTTTTTATGTGTGAAAAGAAAAATAAAATGATAGAATGAAGATTCTTGTTATTTTCAGTGTGAACAAATTAGGAGGGAAGTTTGACAATACTTAGAATCCTCGAGATGTTTCAGCCTCCATATCTTCTTAACTTGCACATTTACATGAGAAAAATGGGTTTTTTTTTTGTTTGGCCACTGCTTTTTAAAACACTATTAAAGGACATCTATGAAACAACTTCGGTGTGGGCCTAACTTTAAAAGGAAAAAAAATAATGTTACGGGATAGAAATAGGAGGCTATTTGAACGTCAATTCAAACATAGTACAGTGGATAAGGCACATGTTACTATTTCAAAAGTTGATCGTTCAATCTCTACTTGTAATTGAAGATTTTTATACCGAATATTATAGTATGGCTTGGGAAAGGGTTAAAGTTCTAGTCTCAAAGTGAGTTCTCTCGGTTATGTTATCTATACTTATTTTCTTCTTCAAATTCTTTGGCAAGGAATGATAAAGAAATGACTATAAGTATAGATAGAATAAAGTAACTTGATCTATAAAATAAATTTGACAAGTTACTTTACACATGACGCTTTATTATGTCTACTTTGTTTCTTCTACTATTGATATATTACGTCGTGTCGAATTTTATACTATTTGATAAAATATGTCATAATCATAATCTGTTAGCCATTCAATTACAATATTTGTTCAATATTTGTTCAAAATTCAAATATTGCATTTAGAATTTGACCTTCAAGTTATTATTTATTACTTTTTCCTAGTTTAACAACGTAAGGAGTGGAGGTGAAGATTTCAAACTTTCAACCGACACAAAAATATATGTCAATTACTTATATTTTTTTTATTTTTTTCATCGAACACATAACTTGAAGGTGTCAATCAATTATGTTGGCACCTTAAAGTTATTATTAAAGAATTTCTTAAAAATATGTTATTATTAAAGAAATTTTGACTACTTTGACAAATGTTCGAAGAAAGTGATAGAATTATAGACAATGACACATACAACAAATACATCTCTTCATGCAACTTCATTCATAGACCAACTTTCGACCGGGTTCAAATATACATATCACATCATTATTTAATTATTTAATTAAACTAATTTTTTTAATTTAACTTTACTAACAAAAATAAATAAATAAAAGATTAAAGTGGAACTTCCATAAGCAATCTCATCACTGTTTTATAAATTACAATGGAAGTTCCATTCATCTAATGACTTGAAATTAGGAAAAGAGCAGACCCAATCTGATTTACAGGTTGAATGATACAAATGGTGAAGAGGAAGATCTATCCACAGAGATGAGAGAACCGAAGAAAGAAGAAAGAAAGAAAGAAATCAGTTCCTTGTTAACATGTTTGATGAGAAGTTTCGTGTCATAACGGCGACTCCTTCCATTCAAGTCTGTTGAGCCCATCAACGATTGCGCGGCGAAACTCGTCGTTGTGTAGGATGAAGGAAGACACATGACCACCAGTCACCCATCTTACTTCTGAACCAGGCCAAGCTTTTTGGAGCTCAAGGACGGAGTGTTTCGGGATGTAGCCATCGTCCTGAAACCCGAAAGGATTCGACTAAGTTATGAAAGCAGTAAGTAGAAGGGAATAAAATAGCAGCGAACAAACCGTGTTGTAAAGCAACACTACAACTTGAGAGTTCAATTAAAACTAGTACAAGACATTTAAGCTGCTTCTGAAAATGACTGTCTCCTTGGTTGTCTTCATCATTATGTTTTTATTGATGTCATTGAAAATTCTTTAATAAGAAACCAAACTTTCAACCAGAAGAATAGAACAAAAGGCAATATTACCAAGTATCACAAAAGCTTACAGTGACAAACAAATAACAAAAATAAAAGCCCACATGAAGTGTTGAAATGAACCAAACTCAAGACCTGTGTCCGAGCCCCGTCTACCCTGGTAAAGCTCTCGTGTCCGACCAAAATATAACATAAAAAGTCAAAAACCCAGTCTACAAAATAAACCTTTGGTTTTCATAAAGGAAGTTGCAAAATGACTTCCTTCATCATTACTCAACAACTTTGACTAAATGCCAAAGCCATCTTTTTTTTTTATATCCGTGAGTGTCCGGACCAGCTTACGCGCACCTCGACAAATCTCACGGGGTGACCGCTTGACCCTACAACATTTAGTACCGGGAAACACAAAGGAATTACTAATTCCTAAGGTAGCTAGTCATCAAGGGACTTGAACTCATTCCCTCCTAATTAACCCTAGCCCCTTTGAACCAATGAGCCACCCATTATGGTTAAAGCTGAAGTAATCCTAAATATCGCTACACAAGTCGCCCCTGAATTGTCTTGACAAAAAAACCTCAATATTTAAAGCTGAATTCCTAATCTCAATTTAAGCATCCTTGTAAGGTTTTGAGACTACGAGAAGCACCATCCTCCCCCCAACCCCTCCCATAAAAGCTTCCTTACAATTTTCTCTAATTTAGAACAGGTGAAGAAAGGAGCTTTGAATATAGAAAGTAATGCAATTGCCACTTCTAAAGAAATACACTTTCCATCAACTAAGAGCCCTCCAAACTTAGCAATTAACACTGACTATGGAACATTTGACCCTTTTGATTGAGGCCAAAAGTGAACTCCACGAAGCAATGATGATCCTATTTTGGAACTCAAGTACACGTACACAGTAGTACAACCTACAGAAACAGATCCTATTCAAGTAATGTCGTAGGCATGAAAATCCTATTAAGATCATAAATGACTTCAAATCCTATTAAGATCATAAATGACTTCAATCCCTTATTGAACAAGAGAAAATAGTATCATTTTCAAACCATAAATACATCACATTTCAATTTGAAATCTTAGACTAAGCCACTATACGTGCCTCTCAACACGAGACATCCACAGCCACAATAAATAGGAAAGGAGAGAGAAGGTCTCCTTACTGAATCCATTTGGAAGCAGAAATGACTATCAAAGATAGAGAAAGCTGAGTTCAAGTACTTCCCGACCGAGGTCATGGGTTCAAGCCATATGGAATGTAACTCCAACCAAGCAATGATTCCTTGCATATGTACGGGTATGGGGACAGTGCGCCATACCCCCAAGTATAGGGGCATAAAGGCCAAAGGGCTACCAACTCATGGGTAATCAACAAAAAAGGAGTACTTCCCCACCCAAGTCTCCCATTTATAACGTCTCTCTCCCCTTCTCACAAAACTTTTTTTTTATTTTTAAGTAAGAAATGAAACTTTCATTATCAAAATAAAAGCACAAAAGGGAAGATGAGATTTCCTACTTGCCAAGTTACAAAAAAGACTGCCAATTGGCAACTATTTTGAGTTACACCATAATTACAAAATGCTCGTTTCCCACCTCGTGGCTTTTTTTCGCCCAAAAGAAGAAAAACTTTTAGGGGAGAAAAGATACACCAATAGAAGGATTTAATTGGCCAGGTCAAAAAAATATGATTTGTCTACATGTAACCCCTTCTTACACGAGTCTTCAAAATTGGAGGTAGATGCACTTACCCTAAAAAGTCCTATTATTCTGAATCTAGGTGCTCCATGGAGTAGACAAAAGCTTCCTTCACAGAGGGAAATCTCGGTATCCCCTCTAAAACGAGGATTCAAGAAAGCCTAATCCAACAACCCCACAATCAACTAGGCTTTTTTGACCAAATGGAAAGCTTTAACGACGACATTATAATTATAAAAATATTGTCCCATCAAAAGAGATTATACTATAGC